TTTACAGCTCTGATTGAACTTTAAGAGCTCACAGATACAGCACTGACTGCTGGATATCAAAAAGCCAAAAAAAAAAAAATAATAAAATCAAAGAAGACAATATGTTTCCAATATTGTTTTTATATTGAAGGTGAGTTTAAGCAATCCAATATTGCAGTATTTTTCTGCTTTGAGGCACAGCTTCGTGGCAGCTCATCTGAGCTGAGGAAATTCATAACAACTGGAATAAAGGCTGGAAATCCTTTATTACTAGGTTATCCTGTTAATCTAACATCTCCTTTCACTTTTGTTATTAATTAGTGTTTCAAAAACAGATGAAAACTTTCCTTTCCCAGTAAAGAGAACAATTTACAGCGAGGAAAAAAAACAACAAAACCCCCAAACACACACATTCCTCGGGTAAATTTTCTACCTGTCTAAATATTTAACACACACACACACAGAAGATATTTAGATTTTTTCTCAGAGGATAACGTGGCAGTTGCATGGACATAAACTATCTGTAGAGAAACTCTGATGACTTCTAAAATCTGTATATTTACTTCTACCTTCCATATGTTAACAGGGAAGAAAGGGGTACACTTCAGACAGCTCTCAGTCCTCATCTCTCACTTCTACAGGGTTTTATTTTGCTACAATGACATCAAAATCCATAAAAAAATACATATATATAAAACATTTCTGAAGCACAGCTGCCCCCTGGACCACTCGGTGGCTTCATTTTAAGCAGCAAAACCAGTCAGAACTCAGACACTGGAGCAATGAGGAGGGGAGAAAAAGTAAACTGCATTTCAAGTCATTTCTCCAGGAGCAAAAAAATCGTGTGTGAAGACAGGTACTCCTTATTTTTAAAGTGCTCTTTCATCCTATTTGCCAAACTTGACTCTATTTCAAGTCACTACTGCAGGAACTGGGCTGAACTTGGGAGACCTTTGGAGGCAGCAGAAAGGCTCTGCCTGTCAGCAGAACCCACTGTGAGCGCTCGAGCCTTTCCCATTCTTCTGTTCCACTTTGTGGAGCGGTGGATAATCAGAAAAAAGACCTGAAATACAAGTTTCAGCAGCGTTTCTGGGGTGATTTTCCCCTGCAGGAACATGACAGGCAGCACAGAAGTCTGCAGGAGGAACTCCAGCCCTCCCATCTTTTCGCTGGTTTCGTGTTTTCAAACTGTCTCCTCTGCATCCAGAACTTGAAGTTTTTGTACAAAGTGCATTTCTTTCCCCTCGATATTGATTTAGAACCACTTTTTTTTTTTTTTTAGTATAGCCTCTGAATAGCAGGGTGGCAAATAAAACCCACATATTAGTGCTGTCAAAAAGAAGCAATGGAGTAATGGACTGGCTGACACCTTTATTCCCCAAACGCTGCTGCTCTTGGGCAAAGACTCTCACGCTTAAGTGAGCCCCGTGAAGGAAACTGCCTGTTGGTGTAAATATGCCAAATGGCTACTTATGCACTCGATGGCTGGTCAGGAGCTGAAATATTCCTTCCTAACTCGACATCATGAGCTTTTTATTGCTGCTGGCACAGGCTGTGACAGCAGGGAAGAGGTTGAGGAGACTGCAATGCTGAAAAATCAGTGCTCTGCAGAAGGGAAGCTGTTTGAGCAGAGGGATGTCCCCTGAACAAGGGCTGGCAGGGAAAGTAAAAAAATATCAGTAATTCCAATCAGTAATCAATCAGTGAAACAAATTAGGGTTTTATTTTTGGAGAGAAAGGACAAGAGGAAGCGGCCTCAAGCTGTGCCAGGAGAGGTTCAGGTTGGACATCAGGAGGAATTTCCTCATGGAAAGGGTGGTCAGGCATTGGAAGGGGCTGCCCAGGGAGGTTTGGAGTCCCCACCCCTGGAGGTGTCCAAGGAAGGACTGGCAGTGGCACTCAGTGCCCTGGGCTGGGGGACAAAGTGGGCATCTGGCACAGGGGGGACTGGATGATCTTGGAGGACTTTTCCAACCTTAATGATTCTGGGATTCTCTAAAGGTAGTTTTCCTGCTCAGAGCTATGTTTGAGAACAGGGTATAAAAAACCCAAACTTTTTAAACCAAGATCAGATTCATGGGTGTGTTTTGGGGTTTTATTTTGGTTTGGTTTTTTTTTTTTTTATTCACTAAAACTCTGACATATCTGGGAGACAGCGGCTCACCTCTGCTCCCTCTGAAGAGGATCACAATTGCACCCAAGCTCAAACGCGCCCTGCCCTGTGCTACAGATGCAGCTCTCTGGCTGTCCACAACTGCACTGGAACATTTTGACCTCTCACAGTCCTGAGGAAAAAGCGAATTTTAATTTCCAGTTGATTTTTACAATCATTTTGAAGTAAATGAGACTTGCACTTGAATTATTCGACAGTTATAAGCCAGTGCATTTCAGTGGCCGCTGCTCCAATTTGTATCATTTATGATTTGTTATGAGACACTGATGGCTGTTTAATATGTCCTAAACATAACCTTGAGACAACGGGAGCTCAAAGCATTTCATAATTGCTTTCCTCTGTAGGAAGCAAATTCCACAGTTGACATATGGAAAGACCAAACTGTTCTTCCAGTCAAAATAAACAACAACATTCCTATTCTTTCAACTGTTAACTACTGAACATTCCAACTGTGTTTCACTGAAAAGCACTCCCGTGACTTTCTGAAGAGCTCTTGGTAACTCCCTCCCCATTTTTAAAAGCACACAGGAAAGGTAGAGAAGTAAAGAACTACAGCTGAAGTAAGAAATACCTCAGCATCCTAAAGACACCTATGGCATATAATCACATAATTATTATCCAGTATCGTTAAAGTGGGATAAATAATTCAACCAATAATTCAGTGTCAATAGATGAGACCAGAATGTGTTTTACCACCATCTCCCAACAACAACCTTCCTGATCCCCATCACTTAAACAGCTCCAAACCATTTGAGCAGATGCTGAACCCTTCAAGATGCACTAAACCTTTAGTGTAAAACCCAACTGGGTGTTGGTTGTGCAAACCTGCCGAGCTGTTTACAGAGGTTTAATCAATAAATGGATGGGTTGGGCTCAAACACCATAAAGGACAAATCTCAGCATTTCTCTTGGCCTGGGATGCAAGAGAGAAATATCAGGACTTGCATGTGCACAGACAGCTGTAAATCACCAGAACTGCCTCCCAACTTCTCACTCAAGCCGTGGTTCATAGGCTGCCTCTGGCAGAAGAGCAGGCAAAAATTTCTAAGTCTAAGAAAGGAGCTGTAGAAGCCAGACAGATTTATAGAGCCAGCAGACAGTTGTCAGCGGAAAAGTCATCAGCTTACTCATTAGTCTGCCTCCATCCGGGAGAAATAAAGAAAAAAAAATAAAGACAAAGCGAAATCCAACACCTCTGACAAAGTTTTAGCAGCAGTGGTTAAGATTAAAGGTAACCTCCAAACCTTCCCAGCCTCTGAAATACAGACTTTTATTCCTAGGGTGGCCTTTCATCCTATTTCCCACGCTTTGCTGTTGTTCAAATCAGCATTGCAAAAGACATCTCTGCGGAACTTTAAGAGGATTTGGGGGACATCAGAAATACTCTGAACATCCGCATTAGGCTGCTAAACCCGCTCTAAGTGCAGTGGATTTTTCTTCCCGGCTTTTCCTGCTCCGTCCTGTGGCAAAGCCGAGTTTTTAAAGGGTCAGGGACATTCGCACCTGAGTACCAGTCAATGAGCTGAGAAATTCGGCAATAGCAGAGATCCCAACACCTTTATAAAGCTGGAAATCCACAGGAAAGGTAGTTGCTCAAAGAGAAAGTCTAAGCGGAAAATCATCTGCTGAGAGCAAGGGGGCGGGGGGCAAATCCCAATGGTTTGGAAACTTGCGTTTTAAAGAGCGACAAACAAGAAAGGAATAAGGAGCTCAAAAATGTTGTTCAGAGATGACCAAGAGCAACTCTGAAAGGTCCTTTCCAATTTGAGACACTCCCAAATTCCACCTCTTTCGTAAGATTACAGAAAACACGCAGAAGTTGAGAGGGAGGAGATGCAAACACAACACCCAAGGTAAAAGCTGTCCTCTCGAGCTACGTCTGCCACCTCACCAGACGGACAGAGCACTCCCTTAGACTGTTCAGATTTCTCAAAAAAAAACCAAAAAAAAACAACCAAACAAAAAAACCCCAAAACCACAGGAGAAGGAAAGGAAATCCCACCCTGAGGGATTCACTTTCCCAACCTGCCTGCAAGGCTACACGGAGCCTTATTTTCATGCAAATGCGAGAGGATGGTCAAATATCAATTTTTGGGAGTTTCTGAGTAAAGGAGAAGCCTCAGCCCAGACTGCCCCAAGTCCAGCCAGATAAAATGCACCACGGTGAGGAGCATCTACCTCTCCACATAGTCCTGTGTTATGTAATTTAAAATATCAGGCAGAACACTAATGATAACTTTATCCTCCCACTGCTCGCCTCTCTTGGGCAGCTCAGCATTAACACGAGGTTGTTCTTCCTAGCTCATTTAGTAAGCGAGAGCTAATTTAAATCAGCATATCCTACAGGAGCAATCCACGTGAATAATGATCCCGACTTGTTTTCCTACAGCAGTGGTGACTTATTTCGGCTTCCAGGGTGGTTTAGGGTTTCTAGAAGAGGCACAGCGTGGCAGCTCCAGCGCCTCCTGCTCGGGGGGGTTTATGGACTTGTTGTGCTCCACTTCCCCGACACGCGTGGGAGGGAACCCAGACACTCCAGATAACGCCTCCCAACATCTTCCTACTCAGGCCTCCTCAGAGACGTTTTCCCTTCATTTGTCCTTTTCAGACGAGCGTGTTGTTCTTTTTATTTTCCAGTCTGAAGGCGAGACACCTGATGCCGAAGCGGGAACGTGCAGCAGGCTCACATGGGAGCAGCGCTGGTCCCACTTCTCCCACTTCAGCATTTACTTTTTTTTTTTTCATTTTGTTGTACTAATCCTACTGGGATTCAAAACTGAGCACAGCAAACCCCAAAAGAGAGGGTGACTGACCCAGTAACCCCACCTCAACAGCCACCCCAGCCTACCTGTGTTCCTGGGTGCACCTTCTGCCACAGGTTCCCTTGGAATGTGCAGCATCTCCCCACTGAGGCTCTGCTCTTCCTCAGGTGCTCCTCTCCCTCAGGGACCATCACTCCACTGCTCCCGGGATGAGGGGCACCTGGGAAAGGGAATGACCCTTAATGAGCTCATTAAGGGCTCTCAGCCCCCCATGGCTGTGAATCAGCCCTTCCCCTTTTCCTTTCTCCTTCTGCTATTGGGATACAGGCATCCTGTTCTCTGCCATGCTGTTTTCCAGACAGTATTCCATTTAAATACATCAGAAGCCAAAATTAACAACTCCTTTGAGATTGTCCCCCTTTTGCTCCTGTAAAAAGTCCCTCTACAAAGGAGCTGGAGAAGGACCTTGGACAAGGGCCTGGAGTGACAGGACAAGGGGGGATTGGCTTCCTGCTGCCAGAGGGCAGGGTTAGATAGAATATTGGGAAGGAATTCCTCTCTGTGAGGGTGGGGAGGCCCTGGCACAGGTATCCCAGAGCAGCTGTGGCTGCTCCATCCCTGGAAGTGTCCAAGGCCAGGTTGGACGGGGCTTGGAGCAGCCTGGGCTGGTGGAAGATGTCCCTGCCCATGGTGGAGGGGTTGGAATGAGATGGTCTTTAAGGTCCCTTCCAACCCATTCCATGATTGTCACAACTGCTGTGCTGTTTTCACTGTGCCCCCTTGCACGTCTGCTGGGTTTTATATACTTGTCAAAAATAGCAAAGAAAGAACAAGAGGGCAGGACACGTTTGGAGAGACGTTTGTGGCCTCTTGGAGTCAGGGGAACCATCAGTCCCGATCCAAACCTGTATTTCCCTGAACCATCACAGCTGGGAGAAGAGTCACTTGTAGGACCCAGAGGTGGCTAATCAAGGGACACAGAGCTTGACAGGTGATTTACATGGTCAGAGACAATAAACCAAAAGTTTAATATCACCCCAAATCCCTTCAAGATCTATTTTGCATCACAGCTCTTCCAGCAAAATATTTTGCGCTTCCTTAGAAATTCCTATTTCCCCCAATATTTGTTCCCAGAGAAAAATCAGCAAATCCAGGCGGGCGCTTGCTGTTTTTCCCACTCCCATTTGGAGTTTGTTATGGGTACCAGCCTGTGTAATTAATATCACGGGACCTTTTTATACCATTATCCATAAAACGTGCCAGGAGGAGGGATTCTGTGGGGAGGAACAGTTGTTGCACCGAGAGATCCCTAAAGCCGAACTCTTGGGACGTGCAGTGTGCCCGGAGTACATCCCATTAGCTCTGTGACTTGCTCCAAACCTAACGATCTTGGTGATGATTTAAATGCCTGGGGAGGGAATGACCCTCAACGAGCTCATTAAGAGCTCTCAGCCCCCCATGGGTGTGAACCGGTCCCTCCCCTTTCCCTTTCTCCTTCTGTTATTGGGATAAAGTCATTATGTTCTTTGCCAGCCTATTTTCCAGACAATATTCCATTTAAATACATCAGCAGCCAAAATTTGCATCTCGGCCATTCCATAAGCATTTAGGATCTGGTGTTTCATGTCTCCTCAGCCTCCTGCTGTGTTCCTGGAAGGGATCTGTGATCCCAGAACAGCCACCCGTTAATGAGGGCGGATCTCAGGGACAGCCGAAGTGACAGCGACCCTGCACAAACATCACAGGCACTCTGGGAGGGAAGCTCTGGAGCAGCATGGAATCAATACGGGACATGCTTTAAAAGGGAAGAAGGAATGATCTGCACTGACCTTTTGTTCTTGCTTATGCTCCTTCTCACAGCTCCTTTGTGCCACAGAAACGCCGCCGTGGCAGCGCTGGGCTGTTGTCACGACCTCCTTCCCCAGCTGAACAGCCAAGAATCTTCTGCCAGGGCCCTCCAGAATGTTTCAGTCCACCCAGCTCTGTTAGATGTGGTTTTAAAACACCTTCTGCTAATTCAGCTGGGTCTGACACAACCCTTCCCATGGGGTTCCTGGGTAGTAGATCAGTGGTGTAACAGCTCCTGAGAACAGGGCAGAGTCAAAGTGTATTCAGCTCTGGGGTCCCTGGCATAGGAAGGACATGGACCTGCTGGACCCAGTCCAGAGAAGGCCATGAATGTGATCAGAGGGCTGAAAACAGGCTGAGAAATTTGTGGGTTTCATCCTGAAGAAGAAAAGGCTACGGGGAGACTTTGGAGCCCCTTCCAGTGCCTAAAGAGGCTCCAAGAGAGATGGAGAGGGACTTTGGACAAGGGATGGAGTGACAGGACAAGGGGGGATTGGCTTCACACTGACAGAGGGTGGGTTAGATGGGGTATTTGGAAGAAATTCCTCCCTGGGAGGGTGGTGAGGCCCTGGCACAGGTTGCCCAAAGAAGCTGTGGCTGCCCCATCCCTGGAAGTGTCCAAGGCCAGGTTGGATGGGACTTGGAGCAACCTGGGCTAGTGGGAGGTGTCCCTGCTCATGGCGGGGGGGTTGGAACAAGATGATCTTTAAAATCCCTTCCAAACCAAACCATTCCATGATTCTATGAATATTGGACACCACAAGTGCCAGGAAAAATGCACTCAGAGCACTTGGTGTCACCATGGCTGGAGCTGCTCAGCTGCCACCACAGCCACTCCAGTCATTCCAAAGGCAAGGGAGAAGTTGTGAACTGGCCTCCTGTTTGCTGAAACCATCAGACACTGAATTTATTTATGGCTGAGAACCCCAAGTCATCAGCACGTGGAGAAGAGAGAAGGCTCTCCCAGTGCAAGCCAGAAGACGTCACACATGTGATGTAGGGAACATCTCCTTGATGCCAAACCCAAGACTTTATTCTGCTAAAGCAGCCTTGATCTGCAACTCAATACATCACCCAGGAGGCCTCAGGGACTGATGTTCACTGCAGGGAGCTCAGGATAAAACTCAGCTGAAAGAGAAAAGCTTCAGTTCACTTTTCCTGACATTTTTTCCGGTTGCACGAGACCAGTTCAAAGCCTTCTCCCAGCTCCAGCTGTGCCAGCTGCAGACATGATCATCACCCTGGCATCTTTCTTTCCTCTTCCAGTGCCCAGCTCAGGATGAGGAAGGGGCTGCTGGGCCAGACTTTCTCACACCACAATGCCCAAATCCTAAATCCCAGGGAGTTGTTTGGCCTCTGAGACTGAGAAGCTGCAGGAGTGGTTTCGAGCCACCTTCCTCTGCCTCTTTCCTTCAGCAGCTCCCAATGAAGTGCAAGTGAACACTGAATTTTGCTTGTGTAACATTTCAGCTGGTCAGGAACACCCTGTAAAAAGCAGGGCTGGGCAGAGAGGAAGAAATAACAAAATATTTTCCTTTTTTTTCTACAAGCTCTGTGCAATGTTGGGACCAAATGATTTCTGCTTCTTGTTAAATCCCAAGTAATATGGGAAAGGGTCAGTCCCTGGCATTTTCCAAGCACAGCAGCACTGACCACTTTATCTTCAGAGGGACTTGAGGCAGATTGCTGTGCAATTTAGTTACCTTGGTAACATCAGCCAGCATGGAGACTTGCAAATAGTTGTGTCACCTTGCCAGTCTGCCTCTCCACCTCACAGGAATGCAGAACAAGCACTCAATTCCAGGGATATCACTCAGGTCCATTGTACTTGCATTTAAGAAAACCAGTGTTGCTTTGCTTGTGGAATTAGCTTAATTCCAGTGGGAATTCCCACAGCTTTCTGTGTGATTTTTTCTTTTCAGTTAAAAAAAAATTCTTAAAAGGCCTGGTTGTTTTTTGCTTCTGTTCCTTCTGAAATCACTTTGCATAAATGATATGACATGGCCTCAAAATAAAGATTATCAAACAATATTATCAAAACAACGTATCAAAACAATATTATCCTGATTTTCTTAGTATTACCTGCACTTATTTTTCAGTCAGGAATTATAGACTCAGGTCTATAAATAGGGTTTGAAATAATGGAAATAGTGGAAAATAATGAAATAAGGGAAATTAGTGAACCTTGAATACACTAAGAAGGGAAATGCCCTTTTTGTGGATATCACAAGCTACGGATGAGGATGAAAAACAAGCCTAATATTCATTGCTCTGCAAGCAAAAGGGAGCCTGAATAAAGCCTCTTAAAAATTCATTTTCTAAAGGAAAAAACAGCCACTCCATCATAAATGTAACAAGGAGCCAATTAAAGGGAACCTTGGCCTGAAATGAAGACATATATAAATTTCCTTTTTGACTTTCTAAACAACAGAAAGAGACAAAATGCCTAAAATTGTCCTTTGGTGCCTTAAATCACATGTATGAGGATGGTACTGGAGATTTCTTCCCAATATCCAATCTAAACCTACTCACATTTGTTGCAGTCCTGCTTCTGGAGTCATCTCTTTTTTTAAAGGAATTTTTTGCCCGTCCTGACACAACTGGATTCTCTTGTATGCGATAAATCTCTTGTCTTGAAAGTACAGTTGGGGAAAAAAAAAAAAAATCAGGAATCTTTTTCTGAACTTAGTTTCCTTAATTAAATCTTAACAGTAATAAGGACTAAATGAGGTTCCTGACTTTTATGTTGTTTAGCAGGACACAGAATCTCTCTGATGCCACTACATAAGAATGGCAGCAAGATATAAATATAATATCCTCAGAACTTAAATTTCACCCTCTTTCACTTTAGTACTTTCACTTTTTCTTTTATTCAAAGTTATTCTGAGAATTGTATTAGTTTAGAACTAGAACTGAGCCAATATGCCAATTATTTGAATAAAAATGAGGGAAGAGACAACAGAGATCTTGCTTTTTAGATTCTTTGGCTCTCTGGAGGGAAGATGGCACAGTCACCTCCTTTTTTCACCACATCCCTCCTGCCACTTGGGATTCCACACATAAAACAGCCCTGTCCCATGGAATCGTGGAATCATTAAGATTGGGAAAGCCCTCTGAGATCAACAAGTCCAGTCATTAACCCAGCACTAAACCACGTCTCCAAGCACCACATCTACATGTTTTTTGAACACTTCCAGGGGTTGTGATTCCACCACTGCCCTGGGAATGCTGTTCCAGTGCCTGACCACCCTCTGAGTGAAGAAATCTTTCCTCCTGTCCAATCCACATGCAAGTGTGGAGTTTAATGACTCATTTCTCACAAGTTTTCACCCTGTAGACTTAAACCAGGACACGGTTC